GTTTGCATAATATTTCCTGAGGCGTTTCGAAATATTCGCAAAAAATAGCGCGCATTTTTTCAGTTTTTTCCCGTAACTTGGAAAGTATATATTTTATCGAAAAGACCATTTCATAGGGAGTTGAAGTAGATGAAATTTCCTTTATATAATCATCAATGTAGGACTAACGGGTGAGGAGCTAGAGCAAGTTGACAATGGGGAAGACCATCACTGAGGGAAGAAATCCGTGCAAACCTCTTTCAATCGACGAATCATGATTTACGTTTGATCTATACTCAATATTATGAGTTCAAGTTGAAGGGGATCGAATCTATATCGTTTTGAAATCAGCATATTTCATTCGTTATTTCGAAAAGCCAAATATAATGGTGGAGCCGTGACGTATTAGTCCCGCACTGTAGCTATCTCTCTCTGATACCTCGTCAGTCTGCAGTGTTGCAGTCTGATTGGTGAGTTCAAGGACAATAGGCGTGTTGGGACTGAGACGTCGCACCAGTTACACCAATGAATTGACAAAATTTCAAATGGCGCACGAATTGTGTGTTTTGAAATGGACAGATTCTAATTTATTTTTTCTATCGTCCTAGCATGAATGAAAAAATTCAAAATTAATTCACTGGTAGTTTTTCAGTATAGAGTTCACGATAATGTCGTTTCAGAAAATCATTGGTCTCCCCCATTAGCCAAATTTGCGTATATACGTTGCAAAAACTAGCGTTATTCGTCAGTTTTCGCAGAAGAGTGTTCCTCTCTGCATCTATTTCTCCAGCAGTCGCACAAGAATACTTCCTTTCAAATAACCATAACAAAAGTCTCGACAAAAGTCGTCTAATCAATCTGCTCAAGAAAAAGTGAGAGTGCATCATGGTATCATTCAAAGCAGAGAACTACATAAACCAATTTCAAGCAACAGCAGACATTTTATTAGCAAAAGGCTCGGCAAAAGTTTCTCCTCCTCTCCAAGAAGCTTGATGATTACTCCCAGTCTCCCAGGAGTCGAAAATGGGTGTGTACACTGTACACCTTAGTAGAACTTTCAACTCAAACCATGTTTATAATGATTCTTTTATACATAAATAATGATTGACGACATACTTCGATCGAAAAATTAACTGGAATGTTTTATTTTTGGACATAAATAATAGTACCTTCTGAAAACGGACCCTCTTATGACGTAGAAACCTCATCTCGCCATAGTTAAAAGAAAACACCAAACGCCCGACGGAGACTGAGGCAACTGATATATTAATACTTTCAACTGTGATCTCGCGCTAATTCACTCTGTCAGAAATCATGTATCATTCATCTCTGTCTGGAATAGTCTTGTTTCAGTGTTAGGGTTTTGACGTCACATCAGCGCCTAGTTTTCAGAGGTCCGAAAAATCGGGGATTTCAATATTTTTTTATAAAACGTAGGGAGCTCACAGCAAGAAACGGTTTGCGGTGGTGAGCTAGTTTGGATGAGTTCTATCGAATAATGAAATAATTTTTTTTTGTGATATAAGCCTATTGTAGCTACTATTAAAAATTATTTGGAGTGAGACTTTTGAGTTTTTATCTTGATTATCTCATCACCTCTAATTTGAGCTATTATTTGTTTACTAGCCTTTTACGATATTCAATATGGTATAAATTTTCAGGTGGTCATAACAAACCCTACAAGTTTTGCATTAAAAGTTTTCATCTATCTTCAATAATGAAACCTGTAAATGCTGTTTATAAATGTATGCGAGATGATTTAGGAAATGATGTATTGCTTAACCCTACAGATAAGTGGCGCCCTATTCGTTGACATGAACATAAATATTGAGATCAATAAAAAATGATGTATCATGGAATCCATTCTACAACTGCTATATTGATAGACGGGAAAATGTACAAAAAAAATTCATAAATAGACTGAACTTTAGATTGAAAAAGAACAGATACCATAAATCATATGAAAACAACTTGAAATTTTATAGGCTGGAAAATTTGGAATTGAGAAGAAAATTTTTTGATGTATGTTTCATATATAAATTATTCAATAATCTGACAGATTGCCCATACTGCTTAGAATTATGCTACTTCAATAGCTCGCAACACAACATGAGGAATAGACAACTTTTAAGAGTTCCCCATTGCTCAACAAACTTTCTGCTCAACTCTCCGTCAATAAGATGTATCAAAACTTTCAATAGTGTATGTAAATCAAACAATGATCTTGATGTATTCAGCTTCTCATTTATCAGGTTCAAACATGGAGTCAAACAAGTTCTGTACAATTAGTCCTTTTTAATTAGTTAAATACAGAATATATTGCCAAATAGTTATAACATTGTCAAACCTTGTACTGTTAGTTACTAAGCACAAATACTTTTCTCAAGCATTCTATAACTATAGAAAACATACCCAGTACTATATGATAAATTGTATGTTATAATGTGCCACTCTATTATTGGGCAGTGAAACACCTGCTTGTTGGGTGGCCTCAAATTCATAGATAAATAAATAAATAAATTACATTGAAATTGAATAATATCACCAAAAAAATAAACAATTAGTGAATTTGCAAATGGTTTACAAATAGGAACAGGCAATAATGATATAATTAAATTTCCGGAAGTTTCATCACTCACTAATAGGCTGGACCCCAAGCTTTGGGATGATTGGGAGATAGGTATACATTTTTGACACCTTCCCACATAATCTCTTTTTGCAGCACCATCATTTTCTAAACCAGCCGCATTATCAATCTGATCAGCAGATCCCCCAAATCAAACTCCAATCCATATATTCTGCAATCTTGCTTGTTTTATTTCGTAAAACATTTCTAGAAAACATAACACTGTAAAAACTACCGAGAATAATTCGTGATAAGCAATATTTTACCCAATTGATTACAAACGCCAATCACTGAAACCACAGTTTAAGGAATACCCATTCCTTAAACTGTGACTGAAACCCACCAGAAGATATCATCAGAGGTGGCACTTAATAGTCTATCAGACTTTCCGATTAATATATCTCGTGAAATGACTGTGCTAGAAGTTTGGTAAGCTGTGATTAAAATATGTAGGTATACCTACGAATACGACGATTTTGACGAATGATAATTTGCGTAAGGTTAATATTTTGAAATTTTGGCGAAGGATGGGTACGAATACGACGATTTTGGCGAATGATAATTTGCGTAAGGTTAATATTTTGAAATTTTGGCGAAGGATGGGTACGAATACGACGATTTTGGCGAATGATAATTTGCGTAAGGTTAATATTTTCAAATTTTGGCGAAGGATGGATTCTTTCGCCAGAATATTGAAATGAACCAGGGGATGTAGTTTTTATAGGCATTGGATGCTCGATTGCGAAAATATTTGTTTATATGGAAGTAACCGATTTTTAGTTATTTTAATTTGAAAAAAATTAGCTACTGTCACCTATTGCATCATTGAACTTACCATGGAATATTATATGTCCCTACATCGTACATGCAATACTATATACAATTTTCCTTTCCTAGTGAGCAAGATTTGTTGAAATAAAACGAAAATTGGCGCTAACATATTAGCTTCTCAAAGTGCAATAAATTAACATTTCCGTTTATATGGCAGTAAATTTTGATGAAATTGTTCACCCTGTTCATTATAACTCTTCACAGGTTTTGAATTGACTCGGCTGTTACTTGATAGAAATCGATGGCAAATGTAAAAACGATAAGATTTCCACAAAATTCTTAAACACACAACTTATTTCGCTAACACAGTAGCTTCGTCAGGTGATATACTGGTACAATGAACTAAACCAATGTTGGCTTGCTTAACTTTTATATATCCTACTTTCCCAACTTGAAGGATTAATTACCTGTGGACAGGATCGATAAACCTTCATTTTCGGAAATTAGGCACAACAAATCTAAACACCTGTACATTTTGCGACGTATGGAAAATATGCCCAATATTTAAATCTGGAGCTATATCAATCAAAAAAGAAACTATCGCCCCATCACCTCGCCTATCACATTATTGTCAAACTTTGCAAAGGATTTTAAAATCTCAATCTACAATGGAGTATTTCCCTGTGTAAAATATAAAATATTACTTGAGCAACACGGCACCATCGCACAAATTAGATGGTGCCGTGAAAACTATCAACAATGCTATTGATAATCAATCTCAAGTCGATACTATATATACAGACTTTTCCAAGGCCTTCAACAAATTAGACCATGAAATACTGCGAAATGAAATAATCTTGGCTTAGATACCACCTTACTAATCTTCCGTATTTAGTTTTCAGTTCTTAGATTTTAGTTCTTGTTGACATTTATATGTATTCAATTTCGAGCATCTGTCCTATAAGTGGGTCTTGTACCTGTTTGAACAATAAAGGTTTTTTTTTCCGTGACGGGAAAAAAGATTGAAATTTCATCTCTGCTGACACGTTATAAAATGTCACTTTTCATTATTTAATTACTTTTTTCCACGGGAAAAAAGTTTGTACTTTTTTCCGGATATATCACATTTATATACACTGTTCATGGCTTTTGTTGTGCTATAGTTCCGAAAAATAAGCCCATAACACCGTCTCCAAGAAAGAACTGCAAGTCTTTTTATCTTCCATTCGACTTTGACGCGTTTACGTAAATTACTAAACAACCATTAAATCAGACAGATATTTGATTACTTCAAAAGAATGATAAAGATGCCTGCAAAAAGATGCCTTCAACGCAGGTGTCATTCCTGTTGACAACTTCAAACCTGGAGCTAAAATTCACTACTTTTTTCCCTAGTGTGATAAATAACTATTTTTCCTCTTTTTTATATGTGCCGTTCGATGGAATGCGATGTATTTACATGAACTTGGGACATTTGTCGCAGATAGAGCGCATAATAGCCATAAGCTTCCAAACACCGCAAATTTTGCGTTCGCTCGGCTTCGCTAAATGCTCCGCTTCGCAAATGCAAAATTCGCTTGTCACTTTGGATCCTAATAAAACAATCTACTATTTTTTCTTCCAGTACCTCACCAAGCAGACGGTCGCCCTTCGTGAGGTGAACGACTCGCGTCTGCGCATCTACGAGCAGCTCGAAGTGAGCATCCAGGACCTCGAGAGGGCCAATCATCGGCTGGTGTTGGACAATTCGGCAGAGAAGAAGCACGTCAAGAGCCTGAACGCCACCGTTGAGGCGCTAGAGGCAAAATGTGAGGAGCTGCAGTCGACCATCGACGATCTCAACTTGCAGGTGGGAAAATGTGCTGATTTTTTTTTCAACACTAGCTATAGAACCTACCATTATTTACTCCGTTTCAAGGAGTAAAAGTGTGTTTTTACTACCAACGTAGTGAATAGTTTTCGTCATTATATGAATAAATATGGACTTGGTAACAATTCTCGAATAGGGATCCAATAAATTGGTAGATTTCAATGCAAACAAATTACAAGCATGCCTTTCCTCTAGAAAAGCCGATCTCACTGTGCCCAACATAAGCTTGTCAGGAGTACCCATACCTTTGAAGACATCCATTTCGATGCTTGGTATTACTATCAGCAATAACCTTTCTTGGGAAAATCACGTGAGATCAATTGCTAAAAGTGCATCCCAAAAACATGGTTTTCTGTTTCGGACCAGGAGCTATTTCACTTCCAGTCAGCTGGTTATGACCTTTAAGACACAGATTCGACCTGTCTTGGAATACTGTTCCCATATTTGGAGTGCAGCACCCAAACATACCCTGAAACTTTTGGATCCTGTCCCAAAAAAGGGCAATTCGTCTCGTGGGTGATGCCTTGCTCACAAACTCACTCACTGTGTGAGTGTATTTCATAGATATTTCCATGGACGATGTTCTTCTGAAATATCAACAAGTGTTCCTACCTTTGCAGTCCCCGCGAGATTAACCCGTCGAGTCGAGGCTTCGCACCCCATCGTGGTCACTTTGGAGACCTGCAGAACATCTCTTTCCAAAGACTCGTTCATCCAACGAACAGTGAGGCTCTGGAACACATTGCCAAGGGAGGTGTTCCTCGAGGCATATAACCTCCAGAAATTTGAGAAAAACACCAATTCCTACCTTATTTCCCTTGTTCCCTAAACATTACAGGATATCCCTTTTCGTTGGAACCAGAACATAAAAAAAACTACTAATCAATAAAGACATCTGTTATGATTAACCAAAATTCACTGTTCTGATGTGAGATTCGCAGGAAGGGCACTGTAACGATCGACTTGTCATAAGTTATCATGGTCATGGCTACTAGATTATAATCGGCATTGAAAGGAAGTGCTTTCATAGTGACATAGGTCCATATTTCAGTTTCACAAAACTATAATTATTGAAATATATTGCTAGTGATGAAAAAAAATCAATATAAGTACACCTTGGTAGTGAAGAATATTATTAGCACGGGAACAAATACCCCTAGACTGAAGCCTCGGGATATGATCTTTGTCCCTGGTAACAAAGATATTCTTTACCACTCTGGTGTATAAATAACTATTTTGTCGACCTCTACAAAATAGTTATTTGTGTATCTAGTGCACGACATGCTACTTTTTTCATCGGCAACTGAGGCGCAGCCGAGTTAAAACAATATTCGAGATGAACAAAGTATTTCGCGTAAGAGTTGCAAACAATTTTTTTTCTACAAATGTCAAAAAATATAGTTCTGAAGTAGTAATATGCTTAGCTCGATATAAAAAATACTGCCTTAAAAGGCCTCTCCCATTCCTCCCTAGGAACGCACGATGTTCCACGAACATTATAAGAATTTCCTCTCGTGCGGTCCAACAGATAAAACAAAATAATTGTTCAACATTTAGAAATAAATAGTTTCTTGGATGTTTGCTCGATTGAGGACCATAAAGTTAAAATATAAAAATCTCATATAAACTGATGATCAATCGAACCGCATCAAGCACATTTTTGCTCTAAATTCAACATCGAATCTTTTCGCGAAAATTCCACTTATTCGAATGCGGTTTTCTTTATTCTAAATTCCATACGCCCCTCCATATCGTAACTCCTCCGCTACTAAATGTTTCTTGGGGGCTCATATTTTTTTCCCTGTATCGCTCATTAGTTCTTCGCCAAAACAATATCCGACCATCAGAATGGTACAGGTTTATTCTGGATTCATCTGTGAATGAACTGAATGTAAACTGCGATTTCACACAGTATATGAAATTAGATATTAATTGGTTTTTTGTCTATGCATGTACTAGGTGGGCCAAAAGAAATCACCCTATTGGAAGATGCTCTTATTTTTGCAAATGGCGGCCAATGTCAGATCTGTTCCGACATTTGTGAACTAGACAGATGTAGAATACAAGTGAACAAGCCATAGAGCGATACACTCCCCAAGAAAGCGGAAAAATCCAAGCCAAGCCATCCTCAATCTCGTGGACGATTTTTCGACCAAAATCATAATGAGCGACAAGGCTCATTTCCACCTCAGCGGGAATGTGAACCAGCAGAACTATCGCTTCTGGGGCACTGAAAATCCACGAGTGATGCACGAGGTGCCATTACACCCGATCTGACTGCATGGTGCGCTGTTTACTCTGGAGGAGTCATCGGGCCATTTTTTTCGAGTTCGCCGCTGGTCAAACGACAACAGTGGACGGTGCGCGCTATAAGGCCATGTTCACCGAGTTTTTTCTGCCTCAATTGAACGAATTAGGACTGGAGGACATGTGGTTCCAACAGGACAAAGCAACGGCACACACTGCGCGAGCCACAACCGATATTCTGAAGGCGGCGTTCCCAGATCGCCTCATCTCTCGTTTTGGCGATTTTCTCTGGCCCGCAAGATCGCCCGATTTAACCGTTTCAGACTTTTTTGTGGGATTTTTTGGAGTCTTGTGTTTACGTGAACAAGCCTGAGACCCTGGAAGCCCTCAAGGATAACATTCGACACGAGTGCCAGAATCTGTCGCCCGAAGATCTCGCCGAAGTGATGAAAAATGCCATAAAACGAGCCCGTTATTAGCAATCAGTTGTGGCGGCACTCATTTGGCCGATATCATCTTCTCGACTTGACCAATAAAATTCTAAAGGTTCAAATAAACATAATCAAAAAACAGAATCGAAGCTTTTCATTTAGAAAAAAAAAATGAAAGCCAAATAACATCGGATGACTCCTTTTGGCCCACCTCGTATAATGTCGCTATAACTTGGGCTGTTTTTATCAGTCAGCTTGTCATTCGACCTTGAACAAAACTCCCTTAATGTACTTATATTTTATTGGCAAGTGAACTACAACAAATGTCTACGACGATCCCCTACGCGGATTTTGAAATATTGGCGAATTTCAGGTAATAAAATCATAACTATGATATTTCCAGGTGGATTTGGTTAAGAGGAGAAATCATAGAACGAGTGACGTTACACAAAATGCCGCTACAAGAGAAGTGATTGCGCTAAGGAGAGTAGAGAGGAGTGGAGATGATGAGATTTTCAGCCCTGATTCATCTGTACAATCAGAAAATGTGAGTAATTTATGTATATCTCAAGTGCTTCAACTCCACTTGATAGTTGAAATTCTATGTTGAAATTATCACAGCGCATGAGTACTAAAAGTTTTCTACACAATATTATACTACTCTGTTTTACCACTAACCAAAACGATTTTTTAACGCCTCGACACGTGTTTCGCTAACTATGTTAGCATCTTCAGGAGAAGATTAAAACTAAATATCCTATTCTAGTGTGCTGCTTATATACTAGGTATATGTTCACCCAACTGTGAAAAATACTAACCGTCAAGTTAATGTTTGTCATGGTTGAGTTCACATGTTAATCTTAATTTTTATTCTACTAAACTATATAGAGGGCTATATGGAATAGGTCCATTATCCTTATTCATTACTCTATTACTATTCTTAAATATCTCTAAGCTTTCATATGCGTCTAGTTTTCGAATGTTATTAACTTGTTTAACTGATTTGAGGTTAGTAATATGTGTGTTATGATTGTGATTGAACATATGTTCGGCTACACAACCTGCCATATTTTAAATGGGCTATGTGTTCTTTGAACCTTGTTTTTATGGGTCGCCTGGTTTGGCCTATATATGTTTTATCACAATCATTACAACTTATTTCGTATATTCCCGACTTTTCAAGTGTGTCCACTTCATCTTTCACACTTGCTCAATACGCTTCTTATACAGGGTGAGTCATTAGTGTGTTCTCCTTCGATATTAGCCAAACCATAGACTACAGAAGATAAACTATAAGACAGTTCACTCGTTCATTTTTCGACTTCTAAGAGATCTCGCCGCAACCTAGCCGACCGCTGGATTCTGCCGGCTAACGACTGCCGGGGCCTTTGAAATCGCAATCTAATTAGCTGTCAACCGACCGCAACCGTTTGGCGGTGCAATGATTTATAGAAAAGCAAAAAATGCAATGTTGGGCTGTACCGACAAACGGATTTCACTAAGTGAACTATCTTCTAGAATTCAGTAATCTTTGGCCAAACCGTCAGGTATATAAAAAAATTCGAACACAACAGTTATAGAATTTTATGAGAATTATCACCTTAAATCATTTTCATATCTATAGGATGTTCGAATTTCATGATATCGGCTGATGATGGGTGTTTTTGAATGGGACACCCTGTATATTATTGCATTTATAAATTTTTCCTGAAGAACTGATTTCATCAATGCATCACACTTGGGGTCTAGCGGAAATGATTACTGAGATATAGGATGTTCAGAATCGAAAATTTTCAAATTTGGGATTTTTTTGTGTCAGAACGTTTGATTCAGTATCTACTGAAATTTAATTGGAATAGATTGAATTTTGAACCACCCTGTATTCATTCCAATTAAGTGTCAGTAGATGGTGAATCAAAAGTTGAGATAGGGACATGTAAGCCGTTTCGACCAATAATAAATAGTTTTGACATAAAAAATTCACAAAGTTGAAAAATATAGATTTTGATCACCCCATATCTCTATAAACATTTCAGCTAGTTCTCAAGTGCGATACATTGATGAAATCAGCTCTCAAGGGAGGATCCTAAAATGTAATAATATACAGGGTGCCTCATTTGAAAACACCCATCATCAACCGATATCTTGGAATTCGAACACCCTATAGGTATGAAAATAATTTTAGGTGATAGTTCTCAAGAAACCCTATAACTGTTGTATTCAAATTTTTTCTATATATCTGACGGTTTGGCTAATATAGAAGGAGAACACACTATTGACTCACCCTGTATATCGCATTGCATGACCTACCCCCAAAACGCTAGATTCACCGACAAAACCGCTAACACGGCAACACTGTCTTCCAGAAATGCAGCAGCACAACATCCCCCACCACCACCACCCCCCGCCACGCCCGCGACGACCCCGACCGCGCGGCCGACGAGCACGGCGCGGGCGCAGAGCAGCTGGCGCAGCTGGTCGAGCAGCTAGGGCGGGCGCGAGCGCAGTGCGGCCGCGAGGAGCGCCGCGCCGGCGAGCTGGAGGAGCAGCTGGCGACGATGGCGCGGCAGTGCCAGGCGCTCGAGGAGCAGCTGGCGCGGGCGGCGCACGGCGGCCGGGGGCGCGACGAGGAGGACCTGAACATGAAGAGCATGCACGAGGAGCTGACGACGTTGGAGGAAGTGAGGTGAGGCGGCATGCGTTCGACGCAGGGTTGCGATGAGGAATATACAATAAAGTGTACTAAATTGCGACGTGAAATTGTAATAGATGACAATGTTTGCGAAATGGTCACTTCATAAGATGTTCTGAGCATGGGCGTAGCCAGGGAGGGGCAGGGGTGGGCGCTTGCCCCCCCCCCTGGTCCAGACAGGGGAAATACAAATTGAAGTTTTCTGCATGATAGGTAATATTTTTTATATAATCGATTCGCGATCGACATTTTTTGTCTTATAATACTTATTTATTTCAAATTGTGTGTGCATTGAAGTTGATTCATCTGGATAGCCAGCCATATCAGCTGCCCATGAATTAGAGTATCGCACTATCTATCAGCCAGAAAACGGGCTCTGTTGATTTCACTTGCTCAACCATGCACAACATGTACAATTGAGAGGTAATTCAGTACATTGAGAAGAGTGAAAACCTGGATTGAGAAGAGTGAAAACCTGGTTGAGGTCGACTATGACCGAAAGTCGACTCAGTGGACTTTGCATGTCGAGTGTGCATAGAAAGGGAGTTCTGGAAAAAAAGAAGATATTTGAAGAAGAAATATTGAACAGATTCTGTCAAGACACCCGCAGGCTCGTTTTAAAATAATTTAAATCTAGTAGTTATCATTAGTGTGTATTAGTTTTTCTTTTAGATTTATTCCATTATATTTTGAATATACGTTTGAGGTATGAACTGAATTATTTTCACCATTTCAAAAAATGCCCTACTGCCCCCCCCCTGATTGAAATCCTGGCTACGCCCATGGTTCTGAGACTATTCTTCATTTTCATTACAATTATTTTCCAGAAGAAAACATTTTCAAAAAAATTCAACTTAGAATTTTCAATAAATTTTTCTATGGTGAATTCAATAACTCTAATGTAATGGATATCAGATATTTCTGGGACACGAATAGGACAACCTATGGATGTACCAGACGGCATGTCCACTGGACAACCACTGCGGTATATCCCTCGTATATCCCAATCATATCCTCGTACCGCGGGACAAAAACGGGACTTTCATAGGACATCCCTGTGTTGTTAGGGATATTATTTTGAAATACTACTGGAATATTCATATTGGAATATTCCTTGGATGTTCCAGAGGCATGTATATGTTCTAGGAATATTCGGTGGATATTTGGAATATATTCCTTCTTTTTAGCATATTCAGAGAATATTCTAGAAATATACAGTGCTGTATGGGTTTCTTAAAAATTGTAATGCAGAAAGTATTACCATCAGATTATTATATAATTTAACTAATTCACCTATATTGAAAGCCTAATTTATATACATACACCATTCAGTAAACAACGACAATCATCTGATATCTTAATTGACAGATAAATCTTTCAGTTATACGGTTCGATTGACAGAGATGCTACTTGATTTGAATACAAAATCTACGTCAATTCAACTTCATTTGCAATTATCTCACTCTCCCGAATAATCTTGCCGTTAGAATAATTGCAAAAAAAATCCCTGTCAGTTAAAATAATGTAACATTCATCTTACTATTTGCAATTATCTCACTCTCCCGAATAATCTTGCCGTTAGAATAATAGCAAAAAAATCCCTGTCAGTTAAAATAATGTAACATTCATCTTACTATTGAATGCAATTAGAAATAAATCTTGCTAGCCTTAGATTATTTTGTTAATTGAGGTAATGAAAAAATCCATCTTGCAATATGAGAGCTTAATTGATAGATGAATACTGCAAATGGCCTAACTGCAAAATTGATCTATCAATTGAGATTAGAGTCTGGTATCAGCGAGCACAAACATCCCTGGGATGTTTTGAAAATGTTGGCATGAAGATGTTATTTTGAGACGTAATATGCACTGACCAAAGAGGTCTTTGAAGAATATTGAAGTATTGTTTTTGTTCTTCTGTGGCATTTCTTTGTTTGCCTACTGTGAGGTATTCCTGGGATGTTTTAGAAATGTAGGCATGAGGATGTTTTTTTGAGGCGTAATATGCACTTCCCAAAGAGGTCTTAGAAGGATATTGAAAGTATTGTTTTTGTTCTTTTGTGCCGTTTCTTTGTTTGCCCCACCACAACGTCTCATGCTTACGTCACAATACGATGAATTCTGATTTGTTTTCGATTTTGTTCTTCTTGTTCGCAATTGGCATTCGCGTTTGCAGCGTGTCACGCTTACATCACGCTGCTAACGAACAGAAAGGAATTTGGTGAAGTTTATTGTGTTAGAAGACTTACTTAGTTTGTAATAATGACCATCAGATGCAAGATGTGTTGTTCGGTGCCTCGCAGTGTAATCAATATATAAAAGTACGAGTTTATCAATACACAGCTTCTCCGCAGTTGCAAAATTATGCATTGTGGAGAACATTTAAAAAATTGGGAAACCTATTTCCAATTATATGTCTGTGTGTAGTAAGCACTACTCAGAAACCGATTAAGAAGGTAATTTCATGTCAAGAAAATATTTTTATGTTCAATCTATTTTCAATGCATTTTTTCATTCAAGGGAAATGGAATCCTAATGCAAAAGTTCATTTTGACAAAAGGCTTCAGAAAAGTACCTCGAAAATGGTTTTCTTACAGCGATTTAATGTGCGCAAGACGCGTTGAAAATGTTTTGTTGTGCCCATGAAAAGGCTTTAAAAAGAACTAGGGAGAAGGTAGTTTTGTGACATATCAAGGACATCTCGATAATTGCCGCCTGCGGCGGACATTGGCTGTTCTATAATAGTTCTATTCATGTGTGAACAGAACATCGCAGTGAAGGTTCAATGTCTCGAAATCTCGTACTTTTAACATCTCTGAGATGTTTTTGTACTCGCTGGGATTATATACTTTGATTGATAGATATACATTCTGTAATCAGACTAATTACAACATCTATCTCACGATTGAATACCTATTGATTGACAGATGAATCTTTCAATTGAAGTTCAATTAACTGCTGTATCTTGATTAATTGCATGCGATATCTATGTCAATAAAACTTCATTTTCAAGATTTATCTTGCAATCATCTCAATCTATACTTAATAATCATGCAGTTAGAGTAATAGCAAGAAAATTCTCTGTTAATTTTTCAATTCGCCTCATTAAACAATTTTGTCAATTGAACGAACTAATTACAAAATTCGACTCGCAATTGCAATTAGAGCTTGATTGATAAATAAATACTGAGTCTATTTTTTTTCTTCAATTCAATGGTAGATTCTCCTAACAAAAACTTTCATTGACATGGTTAGTGAATTGACGGCGTATTTCGATTTGTAGATGCCTGAAATATTTCTTGAACAAATAAGTGACCTACGTAGCTATTATAGTTATGAAACATATCAAGGCAATGTCAAACCTCAAGAGCTCTGTAAACAGATGAATAATTAACTATCAGCTTTTCTGCAACATCACATTATATCAATTATCACTTTCGGATAATCAGAATAGAGTATGAATATCTGCTAGTGCGTCACGAATCTTCTGACAAAGGTAAAAATATCTTGCTTGTAACTGAAAATACAATATTGTTTTATACGGAGGTAAACACCACATTAACGTTTCAAGAAGAATAGAGGCTATATACACAATAATTGTAATTACTTTTTTTTTGTCAACGGTTACGGTGACGTTTATTTTTTTCAATTTTCCACTAGTTAAGGAAACACTACATAGCTGTCGATCCAATGGCCCATCAATTTTATGCTGGCACGATTTGTCAGTGATAAAAACGTACTTATTCATTGCTGTTTCTATCATATAATACGGAAATGTTATACTTTTATTGTGGTGGTACAACATTATATTTTGTATTGCTTTTAGATTTATGTGAGTCAAGATTCCATTATATTATAACGGTAATGGGAATCATCAGTGATAGAAATCACTGAGTCCCCAGTCGACATAGGATATCTTAGGGATATCCATTTCAAGTCCCATTCAAGGCGGTATATCCGTGGACATGAAATGTATATCCATAAGATATCCGATTGCGGATGTACTTGAGATATCCGAAACAAACGTCCTGAATACGTCCATAGGATATCCATAAGATACAGAGACAAATGATAAATACCTAGAAATTTCAAATCAAGCATATACTTACAATGAATGAAATGATCAATGAATAAAAGGAGATCTACAAAAGTAACACTTGTGCGTGGGTCATTCAAAAGATAGCATATCCTATTATTATTAATTCGGTTTTCAAAAACAGCGAGAAGTGGCGTAACGTCTCAAATAGTCCAAGATTTGTAGAACTGATGATTTCTTATAGAGCATATATCGATTCTACCAACCTCGGAATAGTTATTAGATAATGTCAATCTGTTCACATACTTGATTAATTTGAAGTGAATTTGGAAGTGATTTCTACGAATTCGTCCAAAATTGATGATGCATAAGAACTGACAACTACATTATTCGAACGCAGTGAGACGTGAGTGCTTCCCAATTTTTGTGATTTCTTCTATATATCTCTTATCCATATATCCATAGTTGATATCTTATGGATATCCATGATAAATATCTTTAAGACTTCCAAAAAGGTCACACTATCATATCCTATGGACGTCCATGACTTGAAAAGTGATGACCCGTGTATTAATATTTGCTGGAAAGTTACCCTCACTTTGCTAAACTAAGACTAAATGAAGATATATATGGATAGTGTCTTATGGGAATAGCGGTCGTAGGTTATATCGGTGCCTGCACCTAGGTGTCTTGTGTGAAAAAATCTCATCGAAAATGAAATACTTATGTTCATTACGAACGGAGAAATTGTCTATACCTTGAGAATTCTTGCGTTACGCCGTAAAATCTTCTGAATGCTGAACTCTGAACTCCCTGCTCATTTACAGACAAGGCCAGATGTGCAGCCGCTGCCTGCGCAGCCTCGACACCTCCAGCGAGATCCCCGACGACGACGACGCCAGCATGCTGGACGGGTTAATGGCAACCGCGCACTCGCACCACCGCTCCTCCTTCTCCATGGACGTGCAGGTGAGGGAACGCGCTAACATGCTCGTCAGGCACCTTGGCTTCCTCAGCCTCAGGCAGTGCTTCCTGTGACGAACGCTAAAGCACTTTGCGCTCAGGCAGCGCTTCCTGTGACGAACGCTGAAGCACTTTGCGCTCAGGCAGCGCTTCCTGTGACGAACGCTAAAGCACTTTGAGCTCAGGCAGCGCTTCCTGTGACGAACGCTGAAGCACTTTGCGCTCAGGCAGCGCTTCCTGTGATGAACGCTGAAGCACTTTGCGCTCAGGCAGCGCTTCCTGTGACGAAGGCTGAAGCACTTTGCGCTCAGGCAGCGCTTCCTGTGACACTTTGCGCTTTGCTTGTCGCTCACGGGGGGCGCGGGGGCTTATAAGGCGAATGTGTGGAGGGGGCTTAGGCTTGGGCATGGGCTGGACTTTGCCAAAGATTAGTTGTAGGTTTTTTGTTTTGTTTTTTTTTACTGGTGTTCGTGGTGTGTATTTATTGTTTGTACATATTTATTGTGTTGTTCAGCATATTAATCTCCGAAAAAATAACAAGGGTTCTTGATGGGGTTACTTTCAGAACAGGTAACTATAAAATAGTAGATGAAATTAAGTACCCAACAACAATCGGATCATGTCATGACTGAGGAATCGACCAAATTTTCAATAAACTGATAGAATGACTTTAATATATTTGTTAGGTATAAATACTGTTCGCATGATATCCTGATAAAAATCCTTGTTTTTTTTTGAGGAGAAATAGAGTTCTATATGGTGTAAGTGTTGCATGGATGGTGCATTTTTAGGTTTAAGGTTGGTGGGTTTTCTGTCAAGAATTGGCTGTGAGTATTGATAACTAACTCAGAAGTCTGATCATGTGATTCATTTGGAGCTGTAAATATATTCGTAAATTTCATGAATTATCGTTTAATTTAGCATATAATCCTGCTCATCATTTGATAAAGTCGTAGAACAGTATCGACATATCCCAATACTTGAACACTGTTGCAAATTCACCTATATATGTATGTATACCTACCCTGTTGGAATTTTTTCATGAATTTATTTATCTAATATCAAAATGATAATCTAAAGTAAAGTTGAAATTGACTTTGAATAAAATGGAACTCAGATTGGGGGGGGGGGGGGCACTGGTAGGTTTTTGAGATCTATCATTCAATTGGTATCAGATGGCATAATTTTTTCTCGTTGTCAAATCTCGAAATCTAGTGAAAATTTCCACACAGGAAAGTGTTTCAATCATTCTGCTCAGGATAGTGATTGGTACAGGTGCAGTTCGATGAACTACAATATTTTCAAATTTCATCTGGATATATCATGTGTCCTTATAAGCTGGCTCTCCTACTCTAACAGCACCTAGGTATACACAAAATATTTCATATTAGAATATGAGCTACAACTTGATATCTATACATCTAGATAGGTACACAGAAGACAAAACTGGAGTAGATGATTCATGTTATTCTGGATAACCAAACTAAAATTATAGAATAAATAATCAAACATTCATAAGAAAACTAATTTTACAGGGTCTTTCAACAAAAACTTGACCCCACCCTCTACCAGAAATCTCCAGGATCCGTCGATTTTTATACTTGGGGGAGCATATTTTACAGTTGAACTTGTTGTGTTCATATCCCTAACCCCTAGCAACCCAACTTTGAAATTTCAAATGGAACTACCTACCCTATACTTCCAACACAATTTGACAATAATAATCGACACACCGACAGTTGAAAGCTTTTCATTTACTGCATTTACACTTCTTTTTTCTTCACCAAAAATAAAATAGGGGAGACGAGGGGATTAATGAACTAACTCCCTAATAGTGGACAAGGGACTGGCATATTTCGAAAACCATTAGGTCAGAAAAAGTAGTATGCCCTATGTGTATTGTAGTTGATGTATGAATTAGAAAACCATGACCAATTGATAGCATATTACGATGGGGTAATCTCTAAAAGAATTTTTTTTTTTTAATTATTTCTTGTCCATCATTTCCCTCATGAGGATAAATGTAGACGTACTGAATAGTTTCTTCATTATTCATGGTAAATTTATTTTTGTTAATTGTGGACATATACAAATAGTCCACTACTGAACGCCGTTTGATTCATTTCCATTCTCGAATGAAAAAGTTATGATCGAAATTATAAATTATAAGCGTGAATTCTTTTAATTGGACATAACATCTTCATGATTTTATTCAAATGAGAGAATAACATTGAATGGGAAGGAAATGAATGTACGAAATTCATTATCATCTGAAACTTCATTTGTCAAACAATGAAGTGAAAAATAAGAAAATAATTAAAAAAACACCAAAGAAAAATAAGAAACAATTCATTTTTGAATCTTTTGGTCTTCATCTTAGTCTATTCTTCTGAAGGTTTATATTCCTTTCACAATATCTAATATTTCAGCACCTACATGTATATCTTGTACATTTTCAAGGTTCATGAATTTACCTAAAGTTGACTTGGAAACTCCGAATCATTGATCATTGATTCAGTCACGTCTCTCAGCGAATTTTTACGCCGAACTGCTGTTATTGCATTCTCATTGTCTCAAGTTGATATCTAACACGCTTAATGTTCTTTTTTTGAATATTTTGGGCATTTTTCTGAAATATAAACTATGTTCTCTGTTATAATCAGCATTGTCCACTTTTGCACACATATTTCAAGCAATAATGTCCACTATTCCCAACAATAATACATTTCCATAATGGAATTAGCCCTATGTGAAACTGGCTTGTGATTTAAATTTTATTACTCACTAGCAACAGAACCTCACTATGTGTTTAGAAGTTTCTATAGTAAGTTTTAGAGTAAATAATATAATTCAGGTTTGAGAAAAATATATGCAAGGAAGTAGGGCATTTTGAATGTCAAGTTCAAATGTACGTCCCCCAGTCTACAATTGAAAAAGCTGACGTAAAATTAAAGTTTTATTCCAATGTACAGTTCAAAATGACCTGCATTAACTTGCAAACAATGATACAAACTTTTTTCAAATTCTTCTCGAACATCACTGAAGACATCTGGTGTTAATAATCGGCATTCTTCCATAATTCTCTTCCATGTTAAAAAATTATTTCATTTTCTATTAATTTGTTTGCATAGAAAGACGTCATCGGACAGCCTTCAAAATACAAATAGATATGTAATTGTGTATTGAATGAGAAGCTTTTAAGTAGTGGTCAATTATGGTAATAAATTATAACGCGGATGCCAGTTATTTGACAATAATTATTATCAAGTATTGATTTTGTTCAATAATCTCAACCGATTTTTAAAAACGATGCACCAAAGAATTCGCGGCTTTTAAATGATGTGTTGCTACGGGTTAGGGTTATGAACACATCAAGTTCGTTTAACTGTCAAAAATAAAAATATAAAAATCAATGGGTTCCGGTAATTTCTGGGTAGAGGATTCGGTTTTCTAGTTATGGGAGGGTCAAGTTTTCGTTGGAATATCCTCTTATAAATTACCAATACTACACAAATACCTACCATCGATTCAAAACAAACCTAACTCTCATGTATTTGTTGGCAATGGTCCAATAGGAGCTAGTCATCTATAAGTATATGTAGGTATACTACCATTTTTCAGTTTCTGAAGTAGCTGTCATAATAAATACCACTCGATGAATACGCAGCTGGTAATAAAAAGTATATGTATATTCTAACTTAGTCCCAATGGGTAATGTACGTTGATTCAACGTTAAATTTACGTTGAATGGGTGAAAAATACCTTACACGTTGATTTTAACTTTGTCAATAATGACATTATATGACGCACGTTTCAGTGACATATATTCAAGGTAATTATCTAACAATTCGTTGATGAATTTGTTGAAAATACAAATATTTCAACTTTAATATAACTGTTGATTGAAAGATACGTTAATTTCCCCGAAATTTTAATTGATTTTCAACGGTTGGTGACACAACCAATTTTCAACGTTTTTTCATAGTGTTTTTTTTAACAAATAGGTGCCCATTGTGGTTTAACTATACCTTTTCAACTTCAATTTCGGAATCGGTAAGTTATATTTCGGAAATAGTAATCTCGATTTCAGAATTGGTTAGTTCGATTTCAGAAATGGTAAACTCAATTTCAGAATCGGTGAGATGAATTTCAGAAAGTCCATTCAATTTCAGAAATGGTAAGTTTTATTTCAGAATTGGTAGGTTCAATATCATGAAAAAAATCCTTATATTTGTTCGAAATGTTTCCAATTGCATGTGAGATTAACAAACCATATTTAAAATATTCAACTTTTCAAAAACAATTTAATCCACAGATGCCTTCCATCTGAATCGCTGGAAGATAGTGGCGTTGCACATGATTATAAGAATGCAAACACATTTGAGGTGTTATCATTTTCATTGAATGATCTGCACATTCTTCAAGACATCGCAGTCTGAATTCTATCTGGTTGAGCAATCTGTTCGGATCTCCAGCTATGACCCTTTGGCGATGCTCTTGCAAAAAGCTCTTCACTTCTGAGGCACCCCATATATGTTCAATCTGATTCAACATAGGGCTCTCAAACACCGTTCCATCCACTGTAAACAATCTTCTCTTTTGCAATTAAAAACATTTCAAACATATAAAAGGATTTCATCTTCTGAAATTGAACCTACCAATAATAATTCTGAAATACAACTTACCATTTCTGAAATTGAATGGACTTTTTCTGAAATTCATCTCACCGATTCTGAAATTGAGTTTACCATTTCTGAAATCGAACTAACCAATTCTGAAATCGAGATTACTTTTTCCGAAATATAACTCACCGATTCCGGAATTGAAGTTGAAAAGGTATAGAAGAAACTAGCTGAATCTCTGAATGTAGAGTTACGAACTTTGATTATAACGAATACGACTATTTTAAATCTAACTATGTTCTTACTTACATTTATTGACACTCACGAGCTTAATTATTTGTAGTAGGCTGTGATGTGTGCCATGCACGTTTTAGCTGCTTTGTT